CATATGCCAAAATCTATACACCGGCCAAAATTTGCAGTTATTCATGTAATTTCAGCTTTGAGGAGGAAATTAGCAGAAATGAATGCAGTGGACTTTCTAATTTTAAAATGTTCTTTTTTTTTTTTTCATTAATTACTATGGAAGGAATACAAGTTATTGAAAAATCAATTACATATGCAAAATGCAAGGCTTAGAAATAAACTGCTGAAGTATCAGGCAGCAAGTTAAACTGATCAAAAATGCGATAAATCCATTGATGCTGGATCAAAATACCTACTCCTTTTTTCAAAAATACAATGCCAAATGCAATAGTGGAATTATTGTAAATTTGTGCTATTACAAATGTGCTTCTTTTTCCTTGCTCTGTTTTTATATAATTGGCAAAATATATTATTCTGTACTGTACAATATATTTTCTCACTATATGGATTTTCTACTGCTTATACAGAGAATTAGTATCAAAGGGGACTGTGGTGTTAAATTTAATCACATTTTGTTTTTCAGGAAATATTGATAAGGCATATGATAATCAGTATGTGACATTTATGGTCAGAGCTTGCAAATATTGACTCTTGGAGAAGACAGTAATAAGCGCTGTGTCCAGTAGTAGGTGTCTGTAAGATCTAGTCCAGAGAGTAACTCACTGCCAAGAAATTTGAGGGGAAAAGGCAGGTTTACTAAACATCACCGAGACCAAGCCAATGCAACTCCCAGTTTCACCACTTTCAAAGGAATAAAGAAATAACACGCTCTTATTAACATTTTAAAATGATTTCTACCTTCTCCCAAAATTCTCTATATGGATTCAATTACAATATTTCTCTTGACTTCTTAAATGGATTCCAGAAATAATGAAAGAGATCTTAACACAAATTTCAATACTAAGTAGCATTTTCACCTCTTTCTCCAAGTTAATTCCTTACATATATTTTACAAGATTATTAAGATGTCCCTTTATTTTTAAAAACATACCTTTATTTTTCTATATAAAATAAATTGGACTTGAATAACAATCTAACAATGACGACTCTTCAAATAATATACTTTCTTTTGGCGTAATTTTAAAGATAGTGGGAACTTAATTCCCCCAGAGTTCAAATTCGCTACATTACAGCATCCTGCAGTCTTGTTACTCTTTGCAGAACCACTATTTGAAGGGATGAGGGGTAACTGCAACAAAATACGTGATAGCAGAACCCTGTGTATCCAAACCTGTATCAATACCAACTGGGATAATACAACCCCATTTTAAAATACAGATTTTTAGGAGCAAAACCAGATTTGTATAAATGGTATTTTACACATATGCATTTGATTTTTTTCTTTTGTGGTCTCCAATTATTTTTGCTTTAAAAAAGATGAAGACCATGGAATCAAGGACAGGCTTCATAAGCACTGAACTTGGAAAACAAAATATAGCAGAGGACACATTTAATTTATTCTTAAAGAAAAAATGACTCATGAAAGCCCTAACTTACCCAAATCAGTATGCTATAAAGTAATAGTATTAGCAATATGATGTTGAGAATGGTAACGTCAGTAAGGATATGAGATTCTGGGACGTTCCAGAGAAGTCTACGGTATTGAGACCAAACTGAGTTCAGAAGATTTGCAGTCAAACTGAACTTGGAAGTTACCGGCCTATGCACATCCAGAGGAACTACCGTCATCTTGTTATTCCTACAGCTACCTTTCTTCCTTTTTGTAATTTTCACTCTCTTAAGTACGTATTAAACATTATTTTAAAAGCAAGGAGCACAAAAGATTAAACCCCCAAATATCAACTTCAGAAGCAGCTTTCAAACCTGGAGAAAGCACAGTAAAACGTTTTTCTGTTTGCAGCAAACCCAACACTAACACTCTGATCACTGGCAACTCTGTCTGCTCAGTCACAGAGCCACCTCCAATCCCGAGCACACTCAATTTATCTGGGTCCATCAGAGTTAAGCCAAAAAGACATGGTATCAGAAGCAGGCTGAGCGCCCAGCAGCTGAGAAGTAGGGTGATTAGCAAGAGAGAACAGCGCTTGCTTCAAAAACTGCTCTTGCTTATCAAGTACAAAATCAGGGGTGCCACCTGATCTCCATGGCAAGATGAATTTTGAGGATAAAATCCAGGTGTCAGGCCATACTGCACTACCAATTCTCAAGCAGAGGAACTGATTTTTGCCAGACTGACCTGTTTAGAAAATGATCATCTAATTTTGCCCGCTGTTTATAAACTAAAATTTGATATAGAACAGCTTCAGTTGCACTCCTTTAAACAATTTCCTAATGTACTCAGTTAGAAAACATAATCAATTGTGAGTTGCACATCCCATGGGATAAATGTTCATCTATGGAACTAGTAAAAGAACCTGTACATCTGTTAAATACAACTTGCCAAAGTATTTTAAATTAAAAGTTTAACAATTAATTGTCTTTAAAGTAGCTTCAAGATTTTTGAAATACTTTGTTAATTCATTCACAAACATATGAATGCACTGACATATATTGTCTTTAGATACTAAGATTGTTGTTATCACCTTTATTAGCTAAATTGTCATTAATCCAAAAGTGTCCTAATTTAAAACTCAGATAACAACAACAACAAAAAAAGTTTTTATAAACATTTCTAAAAATCCTCTGTATAAGCCAGAGCTTAGGCACAGAACTCTGATCTTTAATAATATTTTAATAACAAGAAGAAATGGTATGAGGACTGGAAAATTAGTCTTACTCGTATTCATTCAGGAATACATGAACTTCACAATTTTATATAGCGCTGTTGCATAATAAATCACAATACAGCTGGCTAGCGTTGCTGAAGTTCTAATACAAATGCTATGAGTTAACATGTCCTGATCAACATTGCAGCTTTTACTGATTACCATGTTTCCTAAAAATAATTTACTTTTTAAAATAAAGAGTTCCCATAGCTTGTATCTAGAATAAATTAATAATCTATTAGCATGTTCAGTATATTTGTACTTAAAGATATATCTATTTTCAAAGAATAAAAAACCAGCAAGTAAGGAGACCTGCTGGATCACTTATAACTGATTTCTTATATTAAAATGGAATGGGCAGTAGGAGAGGAGAGGGTAAACTAATTACATACACGAGTAAAGTAAACTTAAACCCACATAATAAAGGAACTCAATGTGTTCTTTCAGGACAATACATGACTTCCCTCACAAGCTTGTTTTTATTAGAACAAACAAAGTAGTTTTGGCACTTCAGATGCTGCAGGTGATGGAATTTGTGCATATGTGTTGTGTAGATCTTTCCCTTTACTAGCATGACATGGAAGACTTAAAAACAAGGCTCCAAAAGGCTCTAGAAATAAATGACATTTTGTCTAGGAAATGATAAAGCAGTAACCTTGTTTACTAGAAAATATATGTAGGTGCTTTGCAGCTACCTGCCGTTAAAATGCAAATATCTTCAAGCAGTTAAATGATCTGATCCCTAATGCTACTACAGAATAAAGATAAACAGCTGTCTAATCTAGGTTTATACATCTCAGTGCATCCTTTGCAATTAATACTTCAATGCACACAAACAAGAAACTTATTAAAGCTTATAGAAAAAATGTTTTGCCTAATGCCTTCTTTGTCATGCAGGTATGTGTGCTGTACATGTAACAAAGATTTGTAAAAATTACTGGAGAATGCTCCGCTGTGCTATAGCAGAAAATATTAGAGAAGGCAGCTGAAGCTACCATTCCCAGACCAGATCTTGCAGTGCTTTCTCAGCCTAAATGCTCTTTCGGAATCTGCAGGAATTCAGCCTGAGAAAATCAAACAGGATCAGGTCTGTCATATCCATTCTTAACTCTGTTACTCCAATGGATGCAGATATTTTCATTTTTTTCTTGGTAACTGGCCCATTCGAATCATCTAGTGGTGTTTAAGGCTGCCTTTTAGGCAGTGAAGTTGTTCAAAAATTAATCATGCATCCACAATCTTTTAATGCTGCTAGAGATGCACATCATTTTTGATTGTACCAGATATGAGATGAATTACTTCTCTCGTTGTTAACATCAAGAAGATAACCAGACTCAACAGTGGTGGAAAATACCAGTGATCTTTGCTAACTGGTCCAGAAAGTAGAAGAAACTGTAATATTCAGGAAATTAATTTAGTGCTACATGCTTTTAAAGCCTACTTTTAGCAGGCTTTGGGAAGAAAATAAGCAAATATAAAAGTTAATGATGCTCATTTTTAAAAAAATAGTTTTGACATGAACCTGCATTAAAAAAATGCGTGTTCAGCATAGTTCTGTCAATTTTAGAAAATGCATGCAATGGGGAATTTCAGGAGTCTCTGCTTAAAGACATTAGTGGGTTGTACAAAATGGTCAATTATGGTAAATTTTTCAATCACGTTGGATCTAAGGCTTCACTGATCATGTAAGACATGAGGTCCAATCACATAAATTTATCTATTTAAAGAAACTGAAGACTCAGTAGGTGAAAAGAAGTGATTGTTATGAAGTAAGGCAGCAATATCTCCAAAGATTTATCATAGTTCTTTGAATCAAAAACGTCAGGTCTACGACTTTACTTTGAGCAGATTTTTTTCTGATACTCCATTTTTATTGCAAGCTAATTCTGACCAATATGTTACTCTAAATGTTCATCATTTACAAATATTTAACCCTGCCCCCTTCCCTCAGATTTCATTACTGAAATTTAAACTGATCTTCTGGAGAGTTCTTGTGCAATGCTGGAATTTTTAGACATTCAAAGATGGATTTTGAAAGATGTAACATATAGGTAGGTACTCAGATGTACTGGAACTCTATAGGTACTCTACATACTGGGTAAGAAGAGTGTATTGTTTTCCATTTAAAAAGGCAGAATACTAAAAATCGGAGAAAAAAATATTATGTATCTATACACTAATGTTCCATTTTGGGACTACTAGCTGTATTCAGGTAAACGAGAGAAAAAAAAAGACTATTCTCAACCTCTAACCATACAAACTATTCTTAAGTTTGTTCATTTTCCTGTTTCTATTTCCCCTTATCCTGTCATAGTTCATCATTGCTGACTGCAACAAAAATGTCAGTACCGGCTAAACTAAAGAAATCATTTTGCTGCAACATTCATGCCAGGTCTAAAAATAATTTCAAACTGGAAAGTATTTTGTAACTGCTGCAATAATTTGTGATATTTGGCACTCTCAATAGTTTACATTTGGTTTGTCTGAAAAAGCCATTCTGGAAATAAGTAGTTAGAATAAATCTTTTTATTCTAACTTGAAATGTAAATTGAGCTTCCAGCAAACAAATACTGTAGCTGACTTTCTGGCTTCTAGTGGTTTGTAATTTTCAGATTTTTCATTTGGTTTTTTTTTTTCAATTGATTGCAACATGCTCAAGTCGACTTTCCAGTCAATTCACCCAAATTCCAACAGGAATTGGTTTATAAATTGGTTCCAACTGGAACTGGTCATTTGGAATTTCCAGCACAGGAAATTATTTTATAAGTGCCTTGATAAGTACCCTAAATTACAAACGGATGTGTCTAATATCTAACAACAAGAAAAATGGCTATAAATGCAAATGCTGTACTAAAAAAAAAAAATCCAAAAAACAACCTATATGATCGGGCATAAACGTAAGGGCATGGTAACTTTTTTTTGCCCCCTACTTAACATCAAATGACAGCAGAGTGCAACTTCAGTTACTGTAACTGCATTACATCTGCCAAATTAAGATGATTTTTATTTTTTTTCCTAGCTACGTTATGGCAAGTTATCAACTGATGAATACTATTTTTCCCCAGGTTCTTGAACTCAAAGCCTGTGTCGTGAATCATGGCTATATCCTCCCGGGGATCCTCGGTTCCTATGGGGTTTGTAAGTGTCCTGGTATGAGTCAGAGTATTCTTCTTCCACTAGAGGATAGTGATCTCGGCTGTGTTGGGAACTGGAAGACAAGCGGTTCCTCCTCTTCCGAGCCCTTTCATTGTGGTAATTTTCATCTGAGGTCATTAGACTTCGTCGCTCAATTGGAGAGTTCTCTGTAGAATGGCTGCTGTGCCTCATACGCTGGCTCTACGAGTGCCAAAGAATCCAAGCATTAATACAGACAACGAGTATTTTACATTTTTTAGCTTGTTTTGAGACTTATTCTGAGGTCTTTCAGAATCCATCCACTTTTGTGTTATTCATTTTATATTAACATCTGTATGCTACAGCAATGCGTTACAATAATAGTCTGGTTCCTAGAGCTGAAAGCGGACCAAACGCAATATTACAATGTGTACCTTATAGTATTCACCTTGTTAAATATTACAGGCCATTTAGCATGAAAAGTGAGCTGATGTATTCAGCATTTATCACTTTTCTCTGATCATGAACATAACATTCATGCTTCTATTCTGCTTAGAAAATTTTGTGCATTGATTTATGTGGTTTTAGAAAACATCTGAAAATGTTTGTTGTGGTTTCTTCTTTTTTTTTCAAAAGGTGCAGCTCTGAGTCCTATTGAAAAACCTTCATATGACCAAACAAATGACGGACTGCTAACCAGGCAGCTAAGGGGTGGCTAAAATGATTAGATATTAACAAATTCTTTCAACTAAAGCAAATAAATATTTTAAATATGTTGACAGAAAATCCTTTTCTAAGATAATTTATTAATTAAAAGGTTTAGCCTTTGCTATCCTCACGTTCCCATAATGATAATGTGCTACAGTTGTCACATGAACAAAATTAGTTCATATTTTTTGCCAGTAAACGGGCACAATGAAGAAACAGCCTAAAAAAAGTATTTTGTTTGCCTGTCATCACACATTAAACCTCTCAAGAGTATAGCCACATACACTCTCAGAACAAACTCAGTCAATACACTTTTTTCTCTAGATTACACACCCAATGTCATTCTTCTGACGCTGTAATTGCCAAGAGAATGCTGCCGCGATGGTTGCACTCTTGTGGCCTCACGTTCCTGCACACAGACAGCATCATCCGCTCCTCTCGGTTCCAAAATTCTGGCCGATGCTCTCTGTGCTATAGAACCTTCCTCGGATTGCTACACCCTCTCTGTATGGCAACTGTTTAGCTGCATAATTTATAACAAAAGGCTTGTCTGCACGGGGAAGTAACTGTGCAGATGGGTATACTTTTACAGCACAGCAGATACGATATCGCATCTCTTTCTGTGGATCGATGCTACCAAGGTTACTTGCTGAAGAGACTCCACATAATGAGCTGGCACGGAAAAGGTGCCCTTCTGCAAATTCACACACTCAGCTACCAGGTAGCAACTTCTACCACATCATCCCCAAGTTTTCCTTATAGCATCATGTTTTAGTAGTGATTGTATGTCAAAGTCCACATATTTTCTTCACAGATCTCATATTTATTTGACCTAGCCGTGCAATTTTGATATATAATCATCTGATCAACTGCAACTTCAACTTTCTGTGCTCACACCCTGTATCTTCCCTGTAGTAATTTACCTCTCTGGCTGCAACCTGCTCCCTTCTAGAAACCTTCCTGTTTCCCTGCCTTGATTGTGTAGTCATTCTGATCCCGCTATTTACCTCCTGAGAGGTGTAAGGGTGGCACAAAACCAGCGTGGTTACATGCTGGTCTTATGCCCCAAATAACTTTTGATCCTGCAGCGCAATTGGAATGATAAACTGCATTACGTTTTCTGCAGTAATGGACTTAAAATGCAAATCCCCTGGAGCCTAAGAAACACATATCCCCAAAACTTGAACTATAGGATTTAAGTCCATTTGCTGAAATTAGACTAAACTATGTAGGTTTAGAGCTAACCAGGGATTAGCCACAAAGGCAAATGACTGGCCCCTAGGAGTCAGCAATGACAAAATTTACTCTTCCTGTTGAGAACTGCAAACACACACAGCTCAACATCGACATCTTCCCCTTTTAGGCAAGGTCATGACAAAGGACCAAATGACCACCAGCTTTGGCAGGTGTACCACACACAGTGTGATGGGGCACAGCTGGGACACGCTGTCATGTATACCCTCTCTTTTACTCTGACTCTTCTGTATCTATGCCACTTAACTTCACCCTGATGACCTTCATGAAGCCCAAAGACTTAAGTTAAATCAGGAGTTTCTATTCTCAGTAAACTAAAGACCAAGCCACAATCAAGTAAAAAAGGGACACTCTTAAGTCCTGATTAAGTGAAGTACGTGCAGATTGTCCCAGCAAATCTGTATCATTCTCAGGTGTGACTGTTACACAAGGCCCTGGGCTTTTGGTATTGAGTTCCCCAAGACATCAGGTGAGGAGGAGTCACAAGGTCATAAAAAGTATAAATTCTTAATATATCAGAAGCACCTAAGCTAGTTTAATTCTTAGGATTCACGTGAGTGCTTTATAATTACCATACCACATCATTACAGTTAAAACTGATGCAAATCCTTCTGAAGGCCTGAATTAGTATAAAACCTCTAGGCAGATAAACACTTCAGATGATGGAAGTCTTTACTGCGAGACAACCATGTAAAACAATCAGAACTCCTTAAATGGGCCTGAACACTTAAGTGGCACTGAACGCCAAATCCTGCAGTCTCTAGTTGGGCATCATTCACTCAGGGAGAAATTTACCCCTCTGCAGAGAACTAGCACCATTCAAGTCCCACCTAAGCCTTCACAATGAGGGTGAAGTGGGGATTAAGTGATGCATACCTTCAGCCAGCCCACTGCACAGGGGTGATTTTCATCTTCAGTGTGAGTTTTCCCTAAGTAAATGGAGCAACATTTCACAGTTACTGCTGGTGTCCATTGATCAGAGAGAAATAAATGCCTGAAAAAAATTCTGTGGATACACCCAGTTTTCAAAATGAAACTGAAGAGGTGAAAGTTCTGCAGATGGTATTTTATTGTCATGAAGGGATGGAAAACTGAAATTTTAAGGCAAGTGAAAATGGAAACAACAGTTTTACATGTGCATGTTATTAGTAATAGAACAGTGCTTGTGCATTCAGCCAGTCAGGAAACAGTGACTTACTGATCCTAATAAAATCAAGCACAGCATTAGAAATGTGAGTATCAAGTATCATGCACCTTCAGTGAAGTGCAATTCACTCACAGAAAAAACAGCTTTATGTTAATTGAAAACACTGAACAATGCATCATTTCCTTCAAAATTGTTACCTGCTTCCAGATACTCTACAAGCAGAACAGAGGTTAAATTTGTCAGGTGAATTATTCATTAAATGTAATTCGCTCAACTCTACTTTTGACATACATTAGAAAGTGCACACTCCTAGAAAGTCACACACATACAGAACTCCTCCTGAAACTCTCAGACTTAAAAGCTTGCTGCAATCCTGATCTTCTCAAGCATTCACAACTATTAATCAAAAACATTTTCTGTGTTCAAACTTAGTAAAGCACGTACTTCTCATTAAGGACTATTTACATGCCACGTTTGAAGTTTCAAAGTTCAGCCGTTTTTGAGCTATCCCTGTGGAAAAAAATGGTCAGAATTTTTTTCAATGGGTAAAAAAATGTATTTTATTCACACTCAAAGAACTCAAAAAGGTGAAGACATTTTGCTGATACAAGAGACAAGCATGGAAGTTTTTCACCCAAAAGTGAATGTTTTGTGAAGTTATGAGGGTAGAAATAAAAGGGATCATTACAGACACTGTTCTACATTCTTAAATACAGTAGCTGTTAGCTCAACTGCTGTGACATGCTGTACATGCTTATTCTCAATCTGACAGGGTCTCATTCGCAATGACATTTTTTCCAGATTAAAAAAAGGCCATTTTCTAATATGGCTATAATACCAACTTGACAGAGTGTCATTTAACTCTTCCTCAAGAACTCACTCCTTGCCAGAAAATTTATGGCCATTTTATTTCCCATTAAAGCAAGAGCAGTCACAGTGCTTCAGCACTCAGCTGACTAACTGCTTCTTCGCTGATTACGGGCCTTAGCTTGCCGTCTTACTGCTGGCAGTGGCCAAACAGTGAGTAATAACTAATGAAGCAAATGTAAGTTACATAAAACATATTACACTATTTTCCCACAGATTAAAAAACCCCACCTCATCTGCACTGGTCTTTGGGGCTGAAAGGTATTTTCATACCTGTAATCCAGAGATTGCAGCAGGATATGGTGAAAGTGCAGTGGATCCTAAATTTCGCCCAAGGAGTGGAGTCATGGGTGTGCTACTGGTGGTGTGAGTAGCACGCCAGTATGCCTCAAGATATTCTGCCAAGTGTTCGCAAGCATCTTCAAGCTGATTTTCATCCAAAATTACATCAAACATTTCCTGATCACAACAACAAAGTTTGGTTCATTACAATGTAACAGATGAAAAGAAAGAGACGTTAAACAATTCTCATCATGCTAATCCTTTAAAATTCAATAAATAAGAATCAGAGCATGGGATTGCACAAGAAAATTATACAAGTGGGTTTATAAGGTGATCAAAAGCCAAAGCTCTCAGAAGTCACTGTATCCTTTCAGCGAGGTTCACTAGACATCGTGTGAGCCCTACCACGCTCAAAGGCACAAGACTCCTTTAATGAATTTATTTTGCTCTAAGATAGGAACTGCAGCTAGATGTCAGAGTAACACAGGGGTGGCTTTGCATTGGTTTTGGATCCAAGGACTCACGCGTACTTCTCTCATCCTAATTGTGAACACATTTCCAGAGTGACGATGCCCCTAAAACCATTTCCACTTCAGCGAACGCAGCATGCAGTTCTGTTAGCAGCAGTATTTCTGCTTCAGCAAGGCTACTGCAGGACATCCAGCCGTTCAGATACTTACAGCTGGGAATTCTTCAGAGACTATCTCCATGCACTGTTTTTTAACTACCTTCATTTATGCCTATCTGGAGTCTTACCTATCTGTTCTCAAATCTGCAAGACCATGCAGGTACGACCTTTCTCCCTACTAATCTGTTTACCAGGGGACAGTACCTGACCATTAGTACAAGTCCTGGTACTTGCCTCAGACCTGCTCGCCATGCAATCCACAGAGAGGCTATGTACCAGTGAGCGTGGAAGGAATTCAAAGCCATGTGGCTTCTGTGCTACCCAAGAAGTCAAAGGGACACTCTGCAGACAATGTTTTTAGATTATCAGCATGACAAGTGCCAACAACAAACAGCTGATAATAAACCATCATAAACTGAGTCCCCTCAAGAGAAATATAAACATATTTTCAGCAGTGAAATTTTGTACCTCATCTTCAATCTTAACTCATGCCTTAGTGGAAAAAAAGTACTGTGAAAATAGCACAGGAAATGAAAAATAAGTGCAGGTATTGCAGGTGTAAAGAGTAACCGATACAAACCACAGGCTGGTTTTCCTCCATGCATATTTATAGATCTATCTAGTATACAAGAGCTGACGTCTCTAGAATAAGATACAAAACTGCACAATAATTTATCGTAAAGCTTGATCATGCATCTACCTTCTGCCCAGAAGTTTGGTCCAGAACTTACTTTAATACTAAAGCCATTTTATTTATTTTTTAGTTTATTCTCTCTTATTAGCATGATAGAGAAATGTTTCCTCCTCTGTCAGCAAGCATGGAGTTTTCTTCTAATAAGAATACTCCTAACACTACATCCTTTGGTCGGTTTATTGCAGTTTATTGCTGCTTGTTTCGCTCCTCTATTTATATATACCCTTCACACCCTCCTTTGCTATTTAAACACACGTTGATACACTACATATTCCATTATATCACTCACATCATCATTTGTAGAAGTTAGTAAATCAAACATAGTTAAGTTAGGAAATGAAAGAATGTGGTTTGCTTACATATACTTTGCTTTGCAAAATATTGAAATTAAAATATTACAGTTGGAATATAATATGTGTTTTCTTAAATAAAGAATAAATATTGCCATTTTCTGGTCTGAAACTAGCAAGCAGTTTTCCTGCGCTGCTCATTCTTTGCATAGCTGGCCACTGATTTGAGGGCAACTCTGGCTGTCTACACAAAACTCAGCTTTGCAGGTTGCAAGGTAGTTCTGTCTTAAGACATATTTTCAGCCGTATGGGGTTTTAGCAGCAAGCAGGTCAATGAATACTCTTCGAACACCCTCCAACCTCCTCCTGCCAAACTAGGGAACTGTTTCTCAAATTTCTTTTTAACCTGGATCGGTTGATTCAGGGAGTTCACAAAATGCTGTATTGGCATAAGTAAACGTGCTGCAAGGTGGAGCTAAGACAAAGATCAGAGATGGGAAGGCCAGTACTGCTGCCTATGGCTTCCTTTCTTAATGAAGTAACAGCTTTGTGCACTTCTAAGAAATGCACAGCTAATACTCTAGCCGACATACCTAAACCACCCAGTTCTGTGACGGTATGTAGCTTCATGTGGTATTTTGACAGTGATCTCAATTAAATCGAATTTAGAGAAGACGAACTTTTAACACTTGCAGTAGAACTGTCACCTTTTTAACAGTCAACTGTAAAATAACACTAGGACTGGTAATGGTGAGCCTCTCAGGCTGTCATTTGAAGGTCACCTGGAAAAGCTGCAAAACTGGCAGGATCCTGATTCCAGGGCTCTACAGTGTTTTACAGGGAAAATAAATTACAGAGAAAGCACTCAGTATTTTTCTTGCATTTAGCAGTTCTGCTCACAGCTAAACTGTGTTTCTTCTATTCTATGTATTTGGGAGGAAAGAATCTTTTAAGGAGATCCTTGTTTGTTAACAGTCATGGAGTAAAGCAGTTTCTTCCCAGTTCTCCTTACAATGCATTTTATTCACCGCAATATTTTCTTACAACATGCGTAAAATAGTTATGAGTATTTCCATATACTAGTATTTCTTAAGCGATATACACTAAAGCAGTGGTCTTTCCTGAAGAGAAGATAAAATTAGTTGCCACTGTCCTCTGCTATTTCTTTTGATTTACTGTATAACAACTGTGAAATATTCTAGGTGCATTACCCCATGTTAGCAACACAAAATAAAATGGTCATGACTACAGAGACATCCTCCTCACCCACAGGAATGCTAGGGAGAGGGAGTGTAAGAGGGACTGAACCTCAGGCATAGCCCAGAGTTAGTACAGCTAAGAGCAATCCCAAATTGCATCTTGCTCTCTGAGGTCAGGGAAGGAGAGCTCAGGCTCTGGGGGAAAAGATGCCCCAGATAGAACTGCAAGGATGGAGGTCTACCTGAGAAGGAGGAGGAATTTGAATGTGTAGATATATCTGGTGTACTGGCTATTTTTAATTATACCAATGCATTTTAGTTCTGCTAGAGTATAATTTCTGGTATTTTTTAGGTTATGTCAAATCGACCAGAGGGGTATGTACCCTCTCTTAGCATTGCCACGAGCCCAGAAGTTAAAAAAAAATTATCATAATAAACCGCATACAACTAGTGTATTTAAAGCTGTATGGTTAGTACAGTTCATGTTTCTTTCAGTCATATAATGTTCCTAACAGAGTCATGCAGTGACAGGCACGCTTAGCACTGGCTTGAGCAGCATCAGTGAAAGATTAGCAAGAAATTAATAATGAAAGCAGTTCCTGAACTTAAGTATGCCAAAAAAGACAGCTATTTTTAAAATGTCTAGACATACAGCACCATCTGATTACTTTAGGCTGGCTCTCAGCAAATGAAAAAAAGTGAGGTTTTTATGGTTTTCAAGTATCTTCACTTTAAACAAATACTTCTCTTGCAGGAATTTGAGCTGCAAAACAGAGGAAGCAGGTCACAGTGCAGAAGACAGACAGTGGTGTCTTTGGTCTTAGCAGTGTACTTTTACTTAATTAAATCGTGGATCAACTTGGTCCTTTAATTTAAACTTAACCAAGACTGTCATCTCCCTTCCAGTGCTCTAAGTCAGCAATAACTTTCTTGAAATCAAACAGTGCAAAACTGATCAGGTGGTTTCTGCAGAAGGCTGTTGTGCAAGTCAGAGTGGAAGGGAGCCTCTGAGCAAGTACGGTTACATGTCTGAAATCTGGATACTCTGAAATTTGGAAATATTTTTCTTATCCAGGTGGGGTCTCACTTTGTTGCCTTAGGCAACAAAATACAGTTACAGGATTGGGTGTTAAGGCAGAGTTTACTAGATCCTGGGGATGGACAATCTAAGTGCCATGATGCAACAAACAAGCCACAACATGCAACCTGCTGCTGCACGCTGTTTATTTCGATCAACGCAGCTACTTGCCTCATTTCAACTGGTGTGAGCAAACCTAAGTGGAATAAGAGGAAATCACTGTATAAAGAGCAAACAAGGCTGTGAAACATGCACAGGCTTCTCTGTGCAGGTGGAAAAATAAATACACCTTTCAAATGTGAAGAATGTGCAGCGGATTGTTCTGTGTGTAAGCTCAGTGACAGCTCGGTGTAAATACCACAAGCTGTATTCAAACAGGTGCAGGTGCATCTCCATTTAACTTGGCTCACAGCCACTGAGAGTTAGGAAGGTATACGCTTTTATAGAAATTATTTTGTACTACAGAAAAGCATATAATTTTGTTTTAGTTAATGGGACCCAAATGGCTCACAGGAATTCTCCGTCATCATTTTAAGATATAACAAATCAGTACATAATTACATGTGAGAAACATAATATAACTGAGCTCTCAGAAGAACTTGAGATGCCTTGAACATCTTTCAGTGCTGCTCGAAGTGGAAAACAAGGATGAGGCAGTGAGCAAAGCGATCTACAGTTACTCTAACCAGAAGCTTACAGGTCTTTGCAGTAACACAACCAGCTGGATGTATATGCAGTCGCCATCTACCACTTTCGACAGCTGGACATCTGCAAGTGGTGCTGATGGGGCAAGAGAGACAGCAGGAGGGTGGCTGCAAAATCCACACCCGCCAGGGAAACAGCAAGCTGTCTGGGGCACAGTGGGCACTGCAAAAAGTGTATTTAACTGGAGAAATTGAGATATATCCCCCACATACACACACCACCACCAGCACTTTTCTGGATTATTTAAATTCTTGCTCTGTATCAGGCATCAGAGGAATTTGAATCAGGCATCAGAGGAATTAAGAATTGTGTCATTCTGGACACATTCTTAAACCATTCCGCTTTTAGACAAGGAGGACAGAAATTTCAGTCAGGCTTATTACCTTTTTTCTCTGCTTTCTAACATTTCAGTGTGAATCTAGTCTGAACATACACCAAAACATACAAAAAACTGCCAAAGTTCGAAGTTTTCACAGATCCACATTAATTAGTCTTCATTTTGTATCTGACTGAAACTACTGAGCAAACATAACCTGAACTCATTAGCAGTGTCAGTCAGCTTGAAATGGTATTTTTCAGAAAGCCGATCCGAACATGTGGAACTACCCCACTCTCTTGCTAAGCCAAGGCAGAATTATTGGGCAGACCTGAGGCCATAGAGGTCTCTTCCAGATGGGCAAAGGCAGGCACCCCAGTGCAGCAGAGGCTGGTAGTCTCCACTACCTAGCACTAGCTGGCAACTAGGCAAGGTCTACCTGATGGCAGGAGCTAACCTAAAAGGTCAACCAGTGGGCAAGAGGAGAGAGAAAGAGAAAGCTCCCTCCAGGTGCGCCTTTCTGCTGGATGGAGTGCCACCATTCCCACCAACAGAAGCTCTGGGACATCTGAGAGGCATGAGAGCTCTGGCCTAAAGGAGATGTGGCTCAGCCTCAATTCCTACCAATGGGAACAGTTAAAAAACAACTTCTATCCTATAATTTAGGAGGAGTGCCCAGAAATACCTGAATTATCTTTTTATGACCAGTGGGGACAAGAGAGGAGAAGGCTGTGAAGTTTGGCATCTTAAGAAGCATACAAAAACAAGTTAAGTTTCATGGAAATAAATCCCTGTGGATCATTAATCCAGAGCAAAAGCTGCTTGAACTTTGTTACTTTCATTTGAAATGAGAATAAAAGCCATCTGAAATGAAGGCAATCTCTTTAAGGCCTACATAACACAAGGCAAAGTCTTCCAGAAGCATTATCTAACCATTAGGGTCAGGCATTAGGTCTGCTGACCTCAACTCCCAGATTTGTTCCTAGATTGTTCCAAGACATTTCTTTTGTCAGCACTTTGCCTATTTTAAGTCAGAGAGTACGATCATGGAAACCTTCCCAGTGTCTATTCTGAATTTCTGTGAATTAATCTGATTTTTATTCACAGTTCTTTGGCATAAGAAAGATGGGCAATCGGCAAGCCACAGGCTGGACTGTCTGATCATTCCCCTGGTACGAACACCAGTCCCTGCACTATCAGACCGATGTTATGCACAGCTACTACACTGTAAAAGCACGTCCACATCCAAGTTTGTTTCCACTGAGTGACTTTCTCTGTCGCGCAAACCAGGCGTGGTTTTCAAAAATAAAAGCAAATTTGAGCTGCCCTGTCCAAATACCTGTACAGCTTTTCCGCGCAGCACCTGCCTGCCTACTCAGCTACCCAGGACCTCTGCTCCTTAAGCAGCAGGTTATTCAGGGTGAGTAATCAGTATCTTTGATAAAATGGTTGGTGAGCAGTGACTGTGCTCTGATGAGGTAACTGGAATGGCTTGCAGGCGCTGCTGTGTCAGGAGGCGCGGGGATCACATGCATGCAGACACACGACTCACACCGTACAGACGGTGAGTCTGGACTCACTATGCAGCTAAAGGAAAGTCCTCTGCAGCCTCCTCTCAAACCAGGACTTTGGCCCTTCAGGACCTTAAGATAGCACTGCTCCACAAATGATGTAATCTGCTAACGTGCTAGTAGATCAGTTTTACCAGACACGTCATTTTTGACCTGTCACCTCGCCAAAGATCGTAATAAACCCAGCACAGGAGATAATCAGAATAGAAGTATCAAACAACTTGTTTCTTAGCAATAAAAGCTGATCGAGGGTTGCAATTGCAGGGTTGTCTGAATCACCATAAAGTGAAGTGATAACGTATGAACTCGGCTATAATCAAGAACCAAGACAGCAGAAATCTTTAAAACTCCACGTATCACAAGTTCTTTAGCCTTTCTTCTGTACTTACTGGTGGGCATTGTGCAAGTTTATCAGCTGCCACCAACTGAACATTCAAGTGTTTACTTTGTGACTTTCCTCTAGATTTAATCAGTCGCTGCAAAACCTGACAGAGGAAAAGAGGAAAACATGAGTTTAAGAATCGCATATCTCCATAAAGCTCAGACTGACACTCCATTGGAGGATTACCAAGTTCAGAAGCTCTCCATTATGTTTAACAAAATGGATAAAATATTGTCCTTGAATATAAGCACAAACCTTTCTGATAACCTCCCTGAAAGCTGTGCACATTTCCCTCTGCATCACGTTTGATCCCTTGCAAATATTTCAAATGTAGTGCAAATGGTGATTTTGCTTTATTCTACTTGAAGTAATAGGTTATTTTTGACAAATGTAATCTTCTAGAGGACCACAAAAATTATATATATATAGAATTATACTGGATTGCTGGATTGACTGCGGCACAACAGTAGCACCATGTTATATTGTGTAGTAATAACGCTGTAACTTAAACTGTTCTGAGGTGCATTTTGGGTAAAGAAGGTATTTTACACACAGAGTTCATATTACCTTTTTTTTTTTTCCTTCCACTGTGTTCATTACTAGGATTTAAGGGGCGGAAAAGTTAGGAATCCTAAATTATTTCTCTGTAAAGAGAGTTTCAAGTTTCAAAGAAAATTACAGGATGATAGAACAACAGAATATTTTTTAAGTCAGAAGGACCTCTAGAGGTCTCTTGGCCAACCCTTCACTCAAAGTAAGGCCAGCTGGATCATACTGCTCTTGTCCTTGTCCAGCTGAGTTTTGAACATTTCCAAGGAGATCCCTCCACCTCTCTGAGCCAGGATTGACCCGTCTTTGCTCATACAGCCCAATATGCGGCTGATTCTCTGCTGCAAGGGCACGCTGCTCACTCCTGTCCAAACTGTTATCTACTAAGACCCCCAGGTCCCTGGCTGCAGAACTGCTCCCCAGCCAGTCGGCCGCAGCCTGGCCTGGGGCAGGGGGCTTCTCCAGCCTGGTATTTGCCTTTGCTGAACTTCAAGAAGCTCCTGACAGCTTGTTTCTCCAGCCTGGCAAGGTCCCTCTGAATGACAGCCCTGCCCTCTGGCGCATTAACCTGTCCACAACCTTGTACGTTAACAAAGGTCATTAACAAAAATGAACTGTACTGGCCCCATTACAGATCCCTGAGTGATACCACTAGTAAGCAGCTGCCAGCTGGACTTTGTACCTCTGACCAGCACCCTGAACCCAGCAGTCCATCCAATCTTCCACCTCTCTTATAGTCCACGCTTATCCAGACCATACCTCACCAATTTGCCCATCAGGATACTACAAGGAGACCACATTAAAGCCTTGCTAAAGTAAAGGCTAACAGCCACTGCTCTTCCTTTGTCCACTGGAGTCATAATCTCATGACAAAAGGCAGCCAGGTGGGTCAGGCATGATTTGCCCTTGGTAAATCCCTGCTGGCTGCTCCCAATCCCCTTCTTGTCCTGCATGTGGCTGGGGAACAGCTTCCCAGGGGATTTGCTCCATAACCTTCCCATGGACTGAGGTGAGACTGACTGGCCTGTAGTTCCCCAGATCCTCCTTCTTATCCTTCTTGAGAATGGATTTGACATCTGCCTTTTCCCAGTTATAAGGAACCTTCCCAGATCACTATAAGCTTTAAAAGGTAATAGAGAGCAGCTTTGCAATGGCATGAGACTGCTCCTTCAGATGAATCCCATCTGGTCCCTTGGTCTTCCATATGTTAGTTAGGTAGTCTCCAGATCAACCTTCTGCTACTGCGGGTCCCTGCCACACACTGCAGTGGGCCCACACTTTTCTCATCTTTCCTTCTGCTTGCCATGTTCTTACAGAAGCCCTTTTTGCTATCCTTAAGATCTCTTGCTAGTTCTAGCTGCAGCTGAACTCTGGCTTTCTTAACTTCCCTTTTTTTTTGCTGGGATGCCTGTCCCCACATCCATCTTCTGTGTGCCTCCTTTTTGTGTTTGAGCTCAGGCCGTTCCCTATTCATCCACACTGCTCTCCAGCCCAGCTCCACATAGGAACAGATCATTCTTGCGCTTGGAGGAAGCTGTCCATGAAGATCACACAGCTCTCCTGAGCTGCTTTGTTATCCAAGAGAGTCTTTTATGTGATCCTGC